AAAAATGAATGTTATACTCGCACTAGAGCCCCAAATAACCTCTATATACAAGTTTACAGCGAATTCGGTGAAGACAGCACTAGCGGCGCCCCAATGTCAAAAATGAATGTCATAATCGTGATCAGGACATCAAGTAACCTTCATTGCCAAGTTTCAACGAAAAACAAAATTTAGAGATTTTGGGATTGCAACAGTTGAGTAGCACCCAATGTTCAACTTTTTCGGGGGAATTTTTCATCCTTGCAGTTAGAGCACACGGCCCTTCATGCCGCATCTTAACATCGCAACGGATTGTTTCTGTGGCAAAGGCCTCATGCGCAATAAGTTAAACCCAAATAGTCGATGGTTTGTCTGCTAAGCGAGCGCCTAAACTGCATTCCACTTGGTCAACGGAGGGCTGTTGCAAGTGCAAAGGGGCTACGAGGAGAGAGCGAAGCACAAGTTTCGTAGAAAAAATTCTTGCTTCGCGATCGCATATGCGATTAGGCTGCTGTAACAAAAGGAAACGTGTCGAGGCTACTAGGCTATTGTGCGAGTTAGCTCTTAGGCATTTAGGCTTGTAGTCGAATAAGATGAATGGTATACGTATCGATTTGCAGGTCCGCGCGCTAAGCGATTACCTTATCGTCGTAGCTTACTCGCTATTAGCCTAATCCATTTGCGTTCCTTTCTTTAGAGCTTTATCGCCCAATAGCTAATAGCCTACAGTCTGATCGTTACGTATGCTTTTCTTTTTTATCATCCGCATAACCGCCTAATCGCTTGTGCAATCGTGAACTATTAACCCTACCTAAAAGGGAACACAAAAAAAAACAAAAGTAAAAAGAGTATAGCAAACATAAACAAAGAAAAATATCGTATAAGAAACCATGGACGAATTCAAAAAAAAATCCACAAACCTATGTAGTTGGGGCACATATCTGGAAACACCGTTGTAAGCCGGAGTTTTCAGGAAATCAGTGAACCTCCACGCAAAGTTGAGCGCTTTCGCGGCACTGTACACTGTTTTGATACGATCCACTCGAGGAACAGCAGGCATCTCTGTAAAGAGATGAAATGCCATACGGCCATGTAAACGCCTATTCATTTGTGTGCAATGTGACTTGAGAGAGGAGAGGGAGGGACATGTAACATCGCACCAGGATTCCTTAAACGCTCAGTTTCAAGACTAAGCCTTCGAAGAAAAGACTCCGGTATGCGGAAGCAATTTTCATATTCTCCAGAGTTCCTTCCAGTTGCTTAGGCTTAATCCTTGAGGCCCTTTACAGTTTGCCCAACCACACTACGCCTTAATTTGTTTACTCATTATACATGAACTTAGTAAGGAAGAAACAAACAACGTGCAACGATATTGGAAACGACGGCGGAACGCGGAATGAGTGGGGACGTAGACGCAATTTTAAACACGTTGACCGCAATGCACGGCGGGCGTTTTACCGCAACCCATCAAACAGACACGAAGGAAGAATCTCGGGGAAACAATTAAGGGTTAATCTGGTTCTAAAGGGGCTTACGGAGGGTTTGAGTGCACATAAAAGTTCACATCGTGTCCATGTACCGGAAGGTGTGGGGGGTATGCGGAGAAATCGGATGAGCGCCGGTGCAGTAATCAGGCTTTTTTGTAGAAGCTTATGAAGCACTTTATGTATCAAGGCAACGAATTTCCCTTCATGTGTGTTTTTAACAGATTCGAGAAAGAAGTGGCGCGCCAAACTCGCTCCAAATGTCGTTTTTTTTCAACCAGGGCCACCAATTACTCTGAAGGAAAAGTCTCAACAAAAATAATATTTCTGCTCTAGCTAATCGGTAAAACTTCGCAAAGAAATCAAAAATAAAACCTTGGACTTTTTGCAACTCTCCCAAGATGTAGGAAGACGTCCCTGATACCTTCCATGCCAATTACCTCATACCACTTGTAGAATCGACACCGAAAAGACAAAAGATCTCCTCCCTGCCTCCCTTCCATTCGCAACGAATTTTCACTATCCTAGTGCTAAAATTACTTTGTCATTGAATCTACCCTCCCCTTCAAAAAGCCAGAAAAGTGTGAGGCACAGACCAAACACCACAACTGACGACGGCCTCCAAGTAAGTCTATTTAGTAGTGGTTCATAGTGATAGCTGATTTTTAGTAAATGATAGTTGTAATTAGTGTCAACTGATCGAATACAACTGTAACAGGTTAATCATTTCATTGGCAAAAACATTTGCATTTTCTGGAGGCCGTCGTCACTTGTGGTGTATGGTCTGCACCCGACACTTTCTGGCTTTCTAAAGGGAAGGGTATATACTCCGGTCTCGTGCAGGACCTGAGTTAATCGAGACGTGTAGCCGATTTCAAATATCCGACTTCACCCCACAGTCCGGTTAGATGAGTGAAGTAAATTCCGGTACCCCTTTTTTCGCTTACTTCTCGCTGACCGCTACTGCTTCTACTTGTTTGTGGCACAGACGATGTCTTCGCCCTTCCATATGACGTGTTCTCTCACGAATCCTTGTTCTCGCCGCGCTGTGTTTCTCTGTCATACCATAGTCGGCTTCAAAAGAAGAGAAGGCTGGTTTACATAAAGTGGGTGAAACTTCAGTTCGCGGGGAGGGCACTTCCTGTTATCTTAGCCGTAGTACTCTTTTGGGCTTTAACCCTATGAATAACCTATGATGATAGGTTTACACTCATATTAGGTTCGCTTTTGATAAGGACCGGTGTATGCCTTCTTGCGCTTAGGAATGAATGTCCAAACCCTGGTTCAGAACCATTTCTTTGAACAACAGTAAACCGGAATCTAAAAGCACCTTAGGAGTACTTCGACAATACACCGTCCTTATCAGAAGTAATTTCAAATGAATCGATTACACAGCATGAAACTCTTATCCTTAGGCCGCGTTCATAGTTCGCGACTCGGGAGATTAGGATAGTAGGCGACAGGATATTAGGATAGTAGTAGAGTAGGAGATTGCGCTGACAAGATTGGATACGTATCGATTGAAATCGCTGGAGAGTAGTAGATTGGGCGACTTCAAGCGAATAGATCAATACATATCTAATCTTGTCAGCGCACTATCCTAATCTACTACTATCCTAATCTCCTACTCTACTACTATCCTACTATCGTAATATCGCAATCTACTACTCTCCAGCGATTTCAATCGATACGTATCTAATCTTGTCAGCGCAATCTCCTACTCTACTACTATCCTAATCTACTACTATCCTAATCTCCCCGTCAATACATATGTTTTTCATTGTCGCGTACTATCCTAATCTCCGGAGTCGCGAACTATGAACGCGGCCTTAAGGATAAGAGTTTCATGCTGTGTAATCGATTCATTTGAAATTACTTCTGATAAGGAACGGTGTATTGTCGAAGTACTCCTAAAGAGCTTTTAGA